TTTTTTTTTTTTTTTCCCGTATGTAACGCTGATCAGTTTTTTTGTGAATGGTTTAGTGCTGCTGTAGATAGATGTATGTACAGGCTCCGTGGGTACATTATTTTTTTTTTTTGTTGTACATCACCTGTTGGTCTGCTCGTTGTCTTCGTCATCGTCTTCCACTTCCATGGGACTCCTGCTGCTGCCGGTCTTGTGTGTTCTCCTCTGGCAATCAGTGCACATTCTCTGCTGCCCGTAGCCTTCCTCTCCGATGCCCACACCACAAAACGCATGCATGGCTCGCCCGCAAGGGCACTGGTGAATCCCTGAGACCAGGCGAGACTTCATCTTGCATGTTGGCTCACCACACGTTGTCGTGTGGGCGGCAGACGGACCGTCAGCAGACGAAAGGAATCTATCCATATCCACGCAGTAGCGGTTGCAGCAGCAGCATCAGCAGTGGCAGACCGCTCTCTGTGCAGTTCTACAGGTGTGCTGCACGATTTTCTGGGGGGCCCCGCAGTATATAAAGTACACCCCCCCTTCATATTGTATATCTGCGGGGCACCATGGTTCGGAATTTTTTTTCGTCTTTATCGCGGGGAGTTGACTTAAGATGAGCGTCTTTAAAGCGGGGACGACTGTAGTCCATTGCCGGGGTCCAGGACACACTAAAGTCTTTATGGCAATGATACTGACCGAGGAATGATCCCACGAATGATGGACGATATCGCACGCCGGCTGCATGCTTCTGACAAACAATGAGGGAAAGAAGACAAAACCACCTGCAATAGGATAACGTCCGCTGACGAAAGAGTATCAATGGCAGTGCGCCTGCGCGGACTGGAATTTGAAAGCTACAGCAGGTCAATCCCGTGCTATAGTCGCACAAAACGTCCATGCGACCAGCTGGAAACTCCAGTTGCAAGCAGCTCACGACAAAATGAAACGATCTCGACCTCCAGCCTCGGCCTGGGCGATTGCCACAGAACGGCAAATGAAAAGTACGCCGACCCACCAAGCAACTGTGCTGACTGGGTCAACTCAAGCGTGTACAAGGAACAGCATGTGTCTCACCTGACCGGCACAATCAAATATCCGAATTGGACGACCATCGACTTTGTGGTCTTCCACATTCACGTGGACAGTGCTTTCTACACCACTGTCTCGCGTCATACACGGCTTCCCGGTCGTGATGCTGCGCCGCAAACTGCGGCAGTGCATTGAGTGAATAAGGCGAGTCAAACAAACCATTCATGTGACCACGAATGCCCGCACGGCATCTGATGTCGTCAAGGTTTCTCCTCCGCGCCGAAGCAGCCCGAAGTGTCGACTATTTTCTACACGTGAGGGGATGCGAATCGGCGTCGAAGAGCAGCGCACGACATTGACCCCCTACGAGCCACGTAGACTCGTACTTTTGACGGCTATAGTTTGATCCCTGTGGGGTCCAGCCCTGATTGCACCCACCGACACACTCACGTCGGACACGATTTTCGCAACATCAACAGTAGATTGTTAAGAAGCACCGAAACACAATCGCACTAGCGATCCCGTGGGGGGGGGCAGGTGCATTGTTTGGACCGTATTCCCCTGCAGGACACAGTTTTACCCTACACTAAACATTTGTGGAGCGCCGGAACTCGCTCTCACCGTTCAACAAATAAGGCTGTATAGCACCGTCCGTAAATTATCACCAACGGGTTAGTGTCGGTACTCGCAACCCAACGGTTAGCGATGTGGGAACAGTGAAGTTAATAGTTCCGCAAAGTCGAGTAAGCACATGTAGTATGAGGGACAATGGATAAAACTATATTAGTGGCCTCCGTACCTTGTTTTGCCAACAGTCTCCTTTCCAACGATGACGACCTTGAGCGGTGGGGTCACAGCGGTAGTTCCGCCCATGAACATGGCCTCGTAGTAGCCCCTCACCGCCTGTAGGCCACCCGCCACGATCACCTCGGGAGGGTGTTCCCACGGGTTGTGGGCAAGATCCAAAAAATAAAGACATTAAACGCTGTCCAGAAGACGGTCTAAATCCACCGGAAGTGTACCTAGAGAACGTCAATGTGAACGCACAAAATGTGGTTAGGCGGAGCGATGCCAGTTCATGCCGCCAACTGCAACGATGGGTGTGCATACCTCACGACTCGCCGCCTCGATGTCGACGAGGTCGCCTACCCTCGTCTCCCCTAAAACTTACGTTCGAACTTGGGTGGCGCCAACCAACAACCTACAATATTTTCCGAAATACGGTGTAGGCAGGAAGAGCTCCTTGCTTTCATCTCTTCAATTCGAGACATACTTTTTGTCAAAAACACGCGGACGAATAAACACGCTCTAGAGACCACACAGCGCGGGTGACAGCCTGCAACAGATAGTAGGGGAAGATGAGGTCAGGCGACATATGTCCAACATGTCAAGCGCGATCCAAAGCCTCAAACGCACCTCTGACAACCTGGATGCTCTCCGCGCGCACGAAGCATACACAAGTATGCTGCAAAAAGAGTATGCCCAATGAAAGTATACGACGGAGTTTGGCCCAGTCCATTTTTGAACCTAGGCCTGCTAATTCCGAGGTACGTGTATGAGACTGCTCCGCAAAGCACACGAATGAGCGGGTGCACCATAGAATATTGCTTTCATCACCCCCCATGACCATTACCTGTGTACATGCCGGCACAATACCACCATCGAGAAACGAACAACGAACTTATCACACCTGGCCAGGCTGCCATTTGACCAGCCTGGTCCTGTCCGAGTGTGTGCCATAGTCCTGCATGGACCGTGGTGTGATCGGTTGATGTTGTAGAACAGAAAAAACGTGACACAAGCAAGGACATGCAGTCGGGTTGAATCGACAAACCTCAACCATGCACATTCCTCTAGTGACCAGTAGAGGATATTCCCCATCGCTAGGGCACGTCGGCAACTGGCAACGACTCTACTTGCATTTCAACAAGCTCAGCGGTAAGCTTCCCTGACAAATTAATATATTGGCTACAGATCGTGTGCATACTGAAACGCACGAGTAACGAGTTACTCTCAAAAAGCGTTGGGAAATGTACCTCATGTAGAATACGGCCCTTTTGGCACAATCCCTACCGGAAAGCTGGTTGTTGGAAATCCAAAGCTGACGCAGCTGTCTCAGAGCTCCGAGTTCCTTCGGGATGGTTGCACAAGCAACACAAAAGTTGTCATAAGCATCAGCAGCTCAGAACTGAACACGTGAGTCGTGAGTATCACTCGCCCTGTCGACAACACACACTTTCTAGAAGGCTTGAAAACGCGATCTTTCCATATTTTTACTTTGCATGTTCCTGTTCTGTTGCAATGTGAGGGGTCGACACCTAAGGAGCTGGGAGCGCTCACGGGGCTGCACGAGCTTGGTGAAAACTTAAATCAGCTTGTAATTATTGCAGGTGTCTTATTTCGTTGTGTTTCCGAACACTGTAAAATGTTTGTCTCGCGTGTGCGTTGGCATCTACATGCGTTTTTACAGAATTCGGAAGGGGTTTATGCCAGGCTCCAAGTTTTAAAACTTCAATTGGGGAACACCGTACATTCGTGTGCCAAAATAGCGACTCACCGCTGAGCTGGCTATTCCAAAGGTAGAGCACCGTTAGTGCGGCAAGGTTCCCCAGCTCGGACGGAATGGGGCCTGCAAGCAGAAGAGAACGTACAACTTTCGCGGGAGATTAAAAATTCCCGGCTTCTAGAAATACCTACTCACCAACAGGTAAGTGGACGCCAACGCGTGGGTGGGACAAGACCTACGAAGATTCGTCCAAAGCATACGAAAAAGAGCTCGAGAGGAATCGAAAGAATATGACGCGCCTCACCGGTTAGCGCGTTGTTTTGGAGCCAAAGATTCTCCAATTTAGTGAGAGCTCCAAGCTGCTTCGGGATGGTCCCTGCACAAGCAGCGCAGCATTGAAAATGAGTTTTGATTCTCGTACAAAATGTTAGACTACATCTCCGTAGATCCTTCTCCAATATTTTTCACAACCTGAAATTTCTGGAGATTTCTCACTTTTGGTTGTACCACTGTGCTAACCTGGGCAGGGCCGATACCAAAGGAGCTGGGGAACCTCACTCAGCTTAAGGAATTCGTCTTGTACAACAACAACCTCAGGGGTAAGAAATAATGAATTTTCTATGTATCCTCTAGATCTCATGCTGTTCATCGCTTTTGGAAAGTATGCCCTGCCTATTCGTTGGCGGGACAGCATCTACGGAGACCGTCTTGTCCTAGAAAAATAAGAGCGTTCAATTTCGCTCGAGTTGCTCACCTGTCAGCTCATTGCCCCCCGGGTCGAGCGTTTTCAGGGCACCAAGGTTCCCCAGCTCAGGGGCAACGGGGCCTGCACCGCGCGCAAAAGTCAAACTAAAGAGCGTTCAGAACGTCTGTCCCGCGGCTTCTACAACATGTACAGTATCGATCTCCGTAGATCGTATCCCGTCCACGGTGGGCGGGACAAGATCTACGGAGATCGATGCTCTAAAAAAAAATACATATTTGTTCAACGATACCACCTACGAACCAAACGGCCCGTTCCATCCCCCAAATACGATGCAGGCGAAATCCTGGCGTCGCTAGGACAGCTCGTCAAGCTGGAAACGCTCTACCTCGACCGAAACACACTCAGCGGTAAGTGTCTCCGACATATTGGCGTGTACACGTCACACCGGATTGCTTGGGTCCCGCCTATGCGTAGATGGGACATATGTTCCACAAGCGGAAATATTTCCCCGAGACGTCGAGGAGAAATCGTGCCAAATTCAGTATCCTCGTACCCGAAAAGTTGTTGTCGAACAAAGTGATATCCTTGAGCTCAGTGAGGTCCCCCAGCTCCTTTGGTATCGGCCCTGCCCAGATCAGCACAGTGGTACAAACCATAAGTGAGAGGTTACCGGATATTTCACGTTGTGAAAACATTCTAGAGGATTGGTCCCGCCCGCGTGTTGGCAGGACACATAAGTGAAGAAAAAAAAAACATCTACGATGTGTGCCACAGAACATCCCTTTCTCACCAGTGAGCTTGTTGCTGCGAAGAACCAGAAATGTTAGCTTGGTTGGAGCTCCCAGCTCTTTGGGTATTGGCCCTGGACAAAGCAAAAGCAGCACAGCGAGGAAAAACAAATTCAGAATAGTAGTCCTGCCAATGCGTTGGCGGGACGAATATCTCGCATCAAAACACTGCACCCCAAACACAATCGAACTTTTCGATATCTACGCAGGTGCGACCCCGCCGCAGCTCGGAGCTCTTAGCAAGCTGATCTGCCTCAATCTGTCAATGAACCAGCTCAGTGGTGAGAGACGACGTTGAAATTTGAATATTGTTTGTACTGGAGTACTGTTTTTTTCCTAGATAATATGCGTGTGTCCCGCCTACGCATCGACACCTCACCAGTTAGTTGGTTCCACTGAAGGTGGAGTTCTCTCAGTGCTGGGAGCTCTCCCAGCTCCGGTGGGATGGAGCCTGCAACCAGAAGAGCAATACGAAATTCGAGGGGAATAAAAGCATATGTTACCCGGCTGTCTTTTTTCTCGGTCACCGATCTCCGTAGATCTTTTGCAGCCAACGCGTTGACGGGACAAGATGTACGGAGATCGATTATCGAGAAAAATGACAGCCGGGTAACTTCTTTTGTTATTCCCCGCAAAATTCGTATTTCTCTTCTAGTTGCAGGCTCCATCCCACCGGGGCTGGGAAAACTCCCAGCACAGAGGAGCTACAACCTTCAGTGTAGCAAACTGACTGGTGAGACGTGTACAGGAATTCCACAATGAATCCCGCCGCCGAAAGGCGGGACCGATGTTCTAGAAGCTGCAAGCGTTAATCAAGCATCTTACTCCACGATTTCGCGGGGATGGCCAAGCACATTTATCTCCACACGAGTGCACGGACAAGCAGTAGGCCAACTGCCGAAGAACTCCTTGTACACCTTGGAGGTTGTTCCTGGGCAGATCAAGCTTGACCACACGGCCCTGGTCGTTCACTTTGACTCCATACCATGCGCCTATGGCAGCATGTGTGCCCCAGTTGTCTCTTCGCGTCCATCCAGCCCCACCGGTCGAACGAAAAAGGCAACCAGTACATCACGGTCCGTGGAAGCCATTGGGGATCTGCACGGAGTTGATTTGGCGACACGGCTGTTGTTTCAATCCCGAAAACACACCGTCGATCTACCTGCGATTTGGAGCCAAGTCAACAAAAACCGATCACCAACTTTCATTGCAGTGAGCTTGCGGGTAGGCAGAGGCCATTCTGCTCTCTTTTTTTTTTTTTGCTCCTGTCTTTCGGCAAGCATCTGCTTCAAAAGTCAAATATACTGGTTGGTTTTGCTCCTTTTCGGCCGTCATGCCCTCAAATTTGCTCGTATTTTGGGCCGATTTCGCTCTTTTCCGCCACTTGTCGGTGGAAGCTTGTTGTTCCGCCAACGGCCAGTTGTGCAATTTTCCCGTGGTCATGCTCTCACTTATGCCTGTTTGGGCCAAATATGCTTTTGGCCTCCTTTGCTTCCTCTCTATCTGCTCTTTGCCTTAGCGACCCCCTCGCGTACTACCATGGTGTTTTTAACGGGGTACAGAAGACGAATTTTGATGTTGACTAAGTTTGAAATCAAACGCAAGAACGCCAGAAATTGCACAACAGACACACCAGACCAGTAGGGAGGCACCGCGAAACACAAAATCGTTGATGCTCGCACAGGGCGGCAGTAGAGGCTGCTCAAAGTATACACTTAAAGCGTCTACCTCCACACGCCTCCTTTGAAATCACGACAAAAAGAGCCAAAACAGAAGGCACTCAAGCAAGGTCATTTTGAGTGTTAGGTGTCGCATTCTATTGCCATCAGTAGAGGACATTAAGATGCGTCGAGCGTGCTGGCAGGTTCAGGTTTGCTACTGGAGCTGAAATATCGAAGGTCCCAGCAGCCTCTGACAACAGTCCGAAATCTGCGCCGGAACCAAGCGGCATCCAACATTTGTCACAGCCGTGCTCGCCACCACTGACCCCAGTCTCCTGAACTGCCGGTTTACAGCATTAGCTAGTGGTATCAGCTACTGCTGATGAACCGTGGTTCTGGTGTGTTCTGTAGGGTACCGACAGAATTATACCGGCGGTCTTTCCGGGTATTTACCCTACAGAACGATACAGACGAGTTCTGTGGCACATTCGAACCCTACAGAGAAATTATGTGAGATCTGTAGCACTTCCAATACCCTACAGAAAACGTCTACGAGTTCTGTGACGCTCCAATACCCTCCAGAAAACTTCTGTAAACAATTGTGAACCTACTCGCTACGTTCTGTGAGTTGTGTACGACCTTCCTACAAACCCGATCTTTCTGTTGAGTGCTGTGACTCTTCCGGTACCCTACCAGATATTTCTGTAAGTTCTGTGGCACTTCCCTATAACCTACAGAAGACTTGTGTGAGTTCTGGAACACTTTCAATACCCTACAGAAAACTTCTGTGAAGTCTGTGACACTTCCAATACCCTACCGGACTTCTGTGAGGTCTCGAATTTTTCCAAGACCCTACTTCAGGGGCATCTCGCTGCTCTCGCATGTAGGCAAAATACTCGCCAAGACCATCACCAACCGCCTGAGCGCATTCTGCGAAGCCAACGAAATCCTCCCGGAGGAACAGTGCGGGTTCCGGCCTGGC